ACTAACACGGACGCAACCTTTCTTCCTTGAGTTGCGTTTTAAAAAAAAAGACAAAAAACTCAAAATCAACCTAAACTGTTCGCTAAAAATTGTCTACCTAAACACTTCATCGGGAGTCGTTCCTTGAGTTTTCTTGTATAAGGCAAGGATAAATGAAAAAAGCGGAATATAACCCAAACCCAAATAATCAAACTTACCTATTTTAATAAGTTCGGGTAAGCAGTCCGAGCATTGTAATAATGATAAACCCAATAGAAAAAAAGTTGCTAAACGTTTCCAATGATGATTTGTCATCTTTCATTACACAAACACACGTGCTTTTCCTCTCCGAAAATCACAGCACAAACTAATTCACGGAAATACGTTTTAAAATCTCCCAAATAACGTTGTCTAGGAAACACACGACAATACTCCAATAAGATATTTTCCATAGCAAGATTATTTAATACTTGTATACATTGTTTCACTAATTGAATTAATTAGAATAATTGAATTAAGATTAGCGATTATTGAATTAACGGATTAATAATCATCGTAAAACGCAGAGTATACCGTAATAGATTTGCCACAAAATAAAAAAAAGGTTGAAAGCACACGGAGAGCAGGGTTATTCCTTTAGGACACCTTTGATCTGTTGTGTACGGTCCGGTCCGATCGGTTTACATCTACCACAGTGTTCCTTCCACAGGTATAAATTGTTATCCTACTTTAGTAAAAATCGCGACAACAATGACGATTGTAATCACTCACAATAGACGAATATCAAATATCCAAAAATAGGAAGACACGCGATAATGATCTTTAAAAACACAGGCGACTGACAATTTAAATATAAGAAAACAATTTATATTAAATTTGATATTCACGTTAAAGAGTCGCACAGTTTGTTAATAATTTCATAAAACATTTCTAAAGAAACTATTAAAATCCTCAGACGTTCTCGTAATCGGTCGTATCAGTAGACACTGTCCTCAAAATCCACATGCGTTAACGTAACACGCAGTGTCAGTAAACGTTAAAATCCATTAACGTTCACGTAACGTGTAATATGTTTGGAACCTAAAGTTAAAATACACAAACGTTCACACAACGTGTAATAAGTTTAGAACCTAATGTTAAAATCCACTTGCGTTCATGATACGTGTAGTGTCAATGGTCGTTGACGTTAAAATCCAATACGTTCACGTAACGCAGACGTTAAATTTCACATGATAATTCAGTGACGATGGATAATAAAAGTGTAAAAGAGATGAAGAGAGCGAAGTAAGAATAGAGAGACAAACACATGGTGCCGGTTGGAATAGTCCATTCTCTCGTCTTCCTTAACTTTATATTCTACTGGCTCACTGACTGAAATATAGCAACTACTGTCTAATACAATCCATACAATATACTCAATTGCAGAAATTACTGTAGTCGAATACAGCGCTTCTATGGAACAGTGATTTAGGGCACCTATTCATGGAACGCGAATAGAAGAGTGTATAGAAAACAGTTCCACCGAAAGTTTGAAGCAAGCCATAGAAATAGACTGAATTGCAGGAATTCCTATATTCTAATACAGCACTTCTATGGAACTGCAGGATTCTGATAGTCAAATACAGCGCTTCTATGGAACAGCGAGATTCCTATAGTCTAATACAACGCTTCTATGGAACAGCAAGATCCCTATAGTCTAATACAGCGCTTCTATGGAACAGCAAGATCCCTATAGTCTAATACAACGCTTCTATGGAACAGCAAGATCCCTATAGTCTAATACAGCGCTTCTATGGCAACTGCAGGATTCATATAATCTAATACAACGCTTTTATAGAAAATTTTTATCTTAAGCAAGGGTATTTTGCTTCATACAACAATTATAAGGATTGAAGGAATTACGGAAATTCCAAAAACGAATAACTGGTTTCTTTAAGGACTATTATATAACTTTGTCAGGAATTCAAAAAAACTTTGTGAAGAATTTACGAAATACTTTAATTTAGAAGCATACAAACATTATCCATAGCATATAATATATTATTTAAATTCCAACTTTGAAGATGGCATAGCGTGAAACTCTGAGTAACAACAACATGTTGTTAAAACTTCTGTTTAAATATCTTCAAAATCCAACTACATGTATATAAAATAAAACACAAAGACTGACGGCAATGATATGCATATAAACAATAGTTCTGCTGTGCTTAGCTTTTGTTATAACGACAACAAGCATCTAGTCGCCAGGACGACGACAGAAAGAAATCACCTGTGCAACAGGTTACGCACGTTAAAGGGACAGGTGCGCGATGTATTTTGACCAAACATACTTCAGTATCAGAAACGGGAATCTTTTAGCTAAGCTAATCAGTTATAGTGTTCACAGCTCACCGTAAAAATTTGAGCCTTCAAATCCATGTGTGTCCAGAATTAACCGGGTTGACTCGTCCTTTTAATATACTCTATGACATATAGAAAAGACATAAACAGAAATAGTGAGTACAATTCCTAGTTATGAAGGAATTAAGCGATTTTCATACATTTTTAGTACTTCTGATGAATTTTTAAGACTAAATTCAACTCCAAAAATCTGTCCCTTTAAAGATCCACGAAACCTATCTATAGTCAAAAGACAGATCTGCTTGTTTTGTTTCGTGGGTTATTTTCTGTAAGTTACCTAGCAGTATCTGTATAGGCTATCATTTCTAATAAGATTTTTAACAATTAAAAGTGCAATATAAACTACAGTGTGTTATGTTTTGGTGTAATTCACTTTGTAACAGATGGCTTGTGGTTCATATACACTGATACACAATGGCTCTCAAATATATTACAAAAAATACACAATATTTATATACAACTTTCATAGAAACATACGAAGAAGGGTCTGCCAACCGCTGTTGAAAATGACATGATTTATGTCAGAGAATAACCACTACGCAAATTCTATCGTTTTAAGAAGAGATGAAAACACTTCACATAATGAATACGTTTGAAATATCGCTCAAAATTCAATAGTTTCGTTACGTTTTTTGAAAATTAATAATCCAAAATGTTAGCAATGCCGAAGTTCGAGCCATATTTCACTTCCTGTTGGTCGGTTGATGTGGATGGTCTGACCAACACGTGGGTGAATACTTGATTGATGAAATGCAAAACAAACAACCAAATCTACAAATTCAAATGTATTCAAACACAAATCTCTAATGTCTTAAAAACCTCACCAAATTTCCACCTCTGTCTTCACTTGACATCATGATTTATTTACAAACCAAACCCGAGGATCAGGTTAGTTAATAATTGATAGGAGATTATTAACAATATATAAAATAATATAATAACCAATATATACCAAGTTCATTAACCGTGACCAGCTATCATATTATATACATGAATTATTATATTTTACAAATATAACAAAAATATCGCTCTACAACTGTACTGAGCACTGTTTTAAAAGTGATGTATTGAGCACTATTTTAACAGTGGTATTTCTATATCTTTCTACAATTGATGTATTGAGCGCTATTTTAACAGAGGTATTTCTATATTGCTCTACAATTGATGTATTAAGCACTATTTTAACAGTGGTATTTCTATATCGCTCTACAATTGATGTATTGGACACTATTTTAACAGTGGTATTTCTATATCGCTCTACAATTGATGTATTGGACACTATTTTAACAGTGGTATTTCTATATCTCTCTACAATTGATGCATTGAGCACTATTTTAACAGTGGTATTTCCATATCACTCTACAATTGATTTTAATAGTGAATATATATAATCATGTATTATATTTCTATACATGTACTCCGATATCAACTGCGACCAGCTAGTATGTACAGTTTTATATTACGACCAGCTATTATTCTATTTCATGTGGTTTCGCTTTCTGTGTCAGGTATACCCTTCCTTCCAGATCATATAGCATCAACATTTATAATAACGTAATTGTTTCACGACCAAAGTCGGTGTTAGTACTGTACACTTGCTCTGTCACTTCTCATCAACTTTCAGACAAGGCAGGGTAGATCTTATCTTTCTTACCAAACATTGAGCGTGTTGACTGGTCTTTAAAACCCGGAACTATATCTGACTACAATATTTTCATCAGCTCATTCTGTAGTAGCCGTAAACCCCCTTATTCGTTTTGCATCATGCTGCCAGTCTGAGTCATTGGTCAAGTCCAGAGCACAAAATTAAGATATGAAATTCAATTACACATACAAACACTGTCAATCTTCTATAGCACTATAAAGTACAGAATAAAAGACCGTACGTGTCTGTTGGCAGTGACGGAAAATGGTTTGTACCCCCACCCCATTTTTTGACAAATTTGTAAATACGATTCTTATAATCTTTAACCCAAAATATGTGTCAAAATACACCAAATCAATCCAATTTCTCAAACAAATTCTTTTGCGCCACAACTATCTGTTGGTATCGTCTAATGGTGGTAATGGTGTACTGATCAAGGGCAGACAACTCTAGCTAATCTCAGAACTTGATTAAAGAAGTGAAGGAAGCATTAAATTAGGTTTATCTTGTTGAGACAGTGGACCTTACTGTCGTTATCGTATAACATCTATCACGTGATCTTAATAACTAGATTTATAGCTAACTAAATTACAAATGTCCGCATCATGGAAAACGATTAAAATACTTGATTGATCGCAGCTACAAATCACAGTTAATTAACGGCTTGATTAATCGAGTGTCAAGTTATTATTGAAATATGTATTGGTTTAAATTGAGTTTTATTAGAATCACGAACTGAATAATTGCTTTGAAATAACCTATTTAAAAATCCTTAATAGTTATATTAGATCTGTATCATATTGATTGTATATGGCTGAATACTCTGACTTATTTTCCCCGTTGCACACTGCATGGTTAAACCCGTTTTTAATAACCTAATTAAAAATTGTTAATGGTTATTTTAGATCTGTATCATTTTGATTTATCTATGATTGGATGTTCGATGGCGAATTTTCCTCATTGCATACTACATGGTTTAACCCGTTCTCAATAGCCCTATCGGCTATAGAATAGAAGGAAGTAGAATACAATTTCATTTCATTAATTTCTTAAATTTTTATAGCCACGTCTAATGTCCGCAATTTGACACAAAACTGTAATTTCCAGTCGATAGTACGCCTACATTTTAAGCGAAGCATCCATATACACATTTCGTTACCTATTTTGTGTAATATTGAGAAGCAATGGCGGATGTGGCTCCACGAAATACTTACTCTGCTGAACGCTTGAAATCATTTTTCATTATAAAATACTCCCTCATTTATGATTGATATACTTCCCCATGTGAAAAGTTCATTAGCTGCTACAAAACTGTCATTTTGGATTTCGGGTGTCGATTCTGTGGTTCGGATCGTTCGTACTTGGTTTCTTGTTTTTTCAGAACGTTCAAATTCCACTCAAAAAGAAAACGTTTTAACCCGATAAAAAGAAATATAAACATTAAGATGATCTTTTAACATCTCATAAATATTCATGGCTTTCTGACCTCGTTTCTCATGAAACATGGTATAGCTTTTACTGTATTTGATGTAACTTGCTGAGTTCTTGGTAAGGTTACAGCAACATCTTTAACGGGTTTCAGACCATTTTTTCTACATGTTAAAGAAGCTACCCCAACAATTTTTTTAGAAGGAACTTTGTGATGCTGCAATTTTTACAAGGAATAAGAGATTTTCTCAACGGATTGTACCATTGTATTCGCTATTTGGACACAACAATTCTGGTCAGAGAAAACTTCCATTGTGTTAGCTAGTTTAAACCAATTCTGTTCACAGAAAACTTCCATTGTTCTCGCTAGTTTAAACCAATTCTGTTCACAGAAAACTTTCATTGTTCTCGCTAATCTAAAACAATTCTGGTCACAGAAAACTACCATTGTGCTCGCTAGTTTAAACAATTCTGTTCACAGAAAACTACCATTGTTCTCGCTAGTTTAAACCAATTCTGTTCACAGAAAACTACCATTGTGCTCGCTAGTTTATAACAATTCTGTTCACAGAAAACTTCCATTGTGCTCGCTAGTTTAAACCAATTCTGTTCACAGAAAACTACCATTGTGCTTGCTAGTTTATAACAATTCTAGTCACAGAAAACTACCATTGTTCTCGCTAGTTTATAACAATTCTGTTCACAGAAAACTACCATTGTGCTTGCTAGTTTATAACAATTCTGGTCACAGAAAACTTCCATTGTTCTCGCTAGTTTAAACCAATTCTGTTCACAGAAAACTACCATTGTGCTCGCTAGTTTATAACAATTCTAGTCACAGAAAACTACCATTGTGCTCGCTAGTTTATAACAATTCTGGTCACAGAAACCTACCATTGTGCTCGCTAGTATATAACAATTCTGGTCACAGAAAACTACCATTGTTCTCGCTAGTTTAAACCAATTCTGTTCACAGAAAACTACCATTGTGCTTGCTAGTTTATAACAATTCTGGTCACAGAAACCTACCATTGTGCTCGCTAGTTTATAACAATTCTGGTCACAGAAAACTTCCATTGTACTCGCTAGTCTAAACCAATTCTGGTCACAGAAAACTACCATTGTGCTCGCTAGTCTAAACCAATTCTGGTCACAGAAAACTACCATTGTGTTAGCTTGTTTAAAACATGTCTGATAACAGAAAACTTCGATTGTACTCGCTACTCTAAAACAATTCTGGTCACAGAAAACTACCAATGCGCTCGCTAGTCTAAACCAATTCTGGTCAGAGAAAACTACCATTGTGCTCGTTAGTCTAAAACAATTTTGGTCACAGAAAACTCCCATTGTGCTCGCTAGTCTAAACCAATTCTGGTCACAGAAAACTTCCATTGTGCTCGTTAGTCCATAACAATTCTGGTCACAGAAAACTCCCATTGTGCTCGCTAGTCTAAACCAATTCTGGTCACAGAAAACTTCCATTGTGCTCGTTAGTCCATAACAATTCTGGTCACAGAAAACTACCATTGTGCTCGCTAGTCTAAACCAATTCTAGTCATAGAAAACTACCATTGCGCTCGCTAGTCTAAAACAATTCTGGTCACAGAAAACTACCATTGCGCTCGCTAGTCTATAACAATTCTGGTCAGAGAAAACTACCACTGCGCTCGCTAGTCTAAACCAATTCTGGTCATAGAAAACTACCATTGTGCTCGCTAGTCTAAACCAATTCTGGTCACAGAAAACTACCATTGTGCTCGCTAGTCTATAACAATTCTGGTCACAGAAAACTTCCATTGTGCTCGCTAGTCTAAACCAATTCTGGTCACAGAAAACTACCATTGTGCTCGCTGGTCTATAACAATTCTGGTCACAGAAAACTCCCATTGTGCTCGCTAGTCTAAACTAATTCTGGTCGCAGAAAACTACCATTGTGCTCGCTAGTCTAAACTAATTCTGGTCGCAGAAAACTACCATTGTGCTCGCTAGTTTATAACAATTCTGGTCACAGAAAACTACCATTGTGCTAGCTAGTTTATAACAATTCTGGTCACAGAAAACTTCCATTGAACTCGCTAGTCTAAACCAATTCTGGTCACAGAAAACTTCCATTGTGCTCGCTAGTTTATAACAATTCTGTTCACAGAAAACGTCCATTGTGCTCGCTAGTCTAAATCAATTCTGGTCACAGAAAACTACCATTGTGCTCGCTAGTTTATAACAATTCTGGTCACAGAAATCTACCTTTGTGCTCGCTAGTTTATAACAATTCTGTTCACAGAAAACTACCATTGCGCTCGCTAGTCTAAAACAATTCTGGTCACAGAAAACTACCATTGTGCTCGCTAGTTTATAACAATTCTGGTCACAGAAACCTACCATTGTGCTCGCTAGTTTATAACAATTCTGGTCACAGAAATCTACCATTGTGCTCGCTAGTTTATAACAATTCTAGTCACAGAAAACTACCATTGTGCTCGCTAGTTTAAAACAATTCTGGTCACAGAAATCTACCATTGTGCTCGCTAGTTTATAACAATTCTGGTCACAGAAAACTACCTTTGTGCTCGCTAGTTTATAACAATTCTGGTCACAGAAAACTTCAACTGTGCTCGCTAGTCTAAAACAATTCTGGTCACAGCAAACTACCATTGTGCTCGCTAGTCTAAACCAATTCTGGTCATAGAAAATTACCATTGCCCTCGCTAGTCTAAAATAATTCTGTTCACAGAAAACTACCATTGTGCTCGCTAGTCTAAAACAATTCTGTTCACAGAAAACTTCCATAGTGCTCGCTAATCTAAAACAATTCTGGTCACAGAAAACTACCATTGTGCTCGCTAGTTTATAACAATTCTGGTCACAGAAAACTACCTTTGTGCTCGCTAGTTTATAACAATTCTGGTCACAGAAAACTTCAACTGTGCTCGCTAGTCTAAAACAATTCTGGTCATAGAAAACTACCATTGTGCTCGCTAGTCTAAACCAATTCTGGTCACAGAAATCTACCATTGTGCTAGCTAGTTTATAACAATTCTGGTCACAGAAAACTACCTTTGTGCTCGCTAGTTTATAACAATTCTGGTCACAGAAAACTTCAACTGTGCTCGCTAGTCTAAAACAATTCTGGTCACAGAAAACTTGCATTGTGCTCGCTAGTCTAAACCAATTCTGGTCACAGAAAACTCCCATTGTGCTCGCTAGTCTAAACCAATTCTGGTCACAGAAAATTCCCATTGTGCTCGCTAGTCTAAACCAATTCTGGTCACAGAAAACTACCATTGTGCTAGCTAGTTTATAACAATTCTGGTCACATAAAACTTCCATTGTGCTCGCTAGTTTATAACAATTCTGGTCACATAAAACTACCATTGTGCTAGCTAGTTTATAACAATTCTGGTCACAGAAAACTACCATTGGGTTAGCTAGTTTAAAACAATTTTGGTCACATAAAACTTCCATTGTGCTAGCTAGTTTAAAACAATTTTGGTCACATAAAACTTCCATTGTGCTAGCTAGTTTATAACAATTTTGGTCACATATAACTACCATTGTGTTAGCTAGTTTAAAACAATTCTGGTCACAGAAAACTACCATTGTGTTAGCTAGTTTAAAACAATTTTGGTCACAGAAAACTACCATTGTGCTAGCTAGTTTATAACAATTCTGGTCACCTAAAACTTCCATTGTGCTAGCTAGTTTATAACAATTCTGGTCACCTAAAACTTCCATTGTGCTAGCTAGTTTATAACAATTCTGGTCACCTAAAACTTCCATTGTGCTCGCTAGTTTATAACAATTCTAGTCACCTAAAACTTCCATTGTGCTAGCTAGTTTATAACAATTCTGGTCACCTAAAACTTCCATTGTGCTAGCTAGTTTATAACAATTCTAGTCACCTAAAACTTCCATTGTGCTCGCTAGTCTAAACATTGTGCTAGCTAGTTTATAACAATTCTGGTCACCTAAAACTTCCATTGTGCTAGCTAGTTTATAACAATTCTGGTCACCTAAAACTTCCATTGTGCTAGCTAGTTTATAACAATTCTAGTCACCTAAAACTTCCATTGTGCTCGCTAGTCTAAACATTGTGCTAGCTAGTTTATAACAATTCTGGTCACCTAAAACTTCCATTGTGCTCGCTAGTTTATAACAATTCTGGTCACAGAAAACTTCCATTGTGCTAGCTAGTTTATAACAATTCTGGTCACCTAAAACTTCCATTGTGCTCGCTAGTTTATAACAATTCTGGTCACAGAAAACTTCCATTGTGCTAGCTAGTTTATAACAATTCTGGTCACCTAAAACTTCCATTGTGCTCGCTAGTTTATAACAATTCTGGTCACCTAAAACTTCCATTGTGCTCGCTAGTCTAAACCAATTCTGGTCACCTAAATCTACCATTGTGCTCGCTAGTCTAAACCAATTCTGGTCACCTAAAACTTCCATTGTGCTCGCTAGTCTAAACCAATTCTGGTCACCTAAAACTTCCATTGTGCTAGCTAGTCTAAAACTTCCATTGTGCTAGCTAGTCTAAAACTTCTATTGTGCTCGCTAGTCTAAACCAATTCTGGTCACCTAAAACTACCATTGTGCTCGCTAGTCTAAACCAATTCTGGTCACCTAAAACTTCCATTGTGCTCGCTAGTCTAAACCAATTCTGGTCACCTAAAACTTCCATTGTGCTCGCTAGTCTAAACCAATTCTGGTCACCTAAAACTTCCATTGTGCTAGCTAGTCTAAAACTTCCATTGTGCTCGCTAGTTTATAACAATTCTGGTCACCTAAAACTTCCATTGTGCTAGCCTGTTGGACAACATATTTGGCATGCCGCGTCTCATGTTCGAATTTCACACATAAAATCCTCCATCTGAACAGATGATTGGTATAAGGGGTATTTGATCCCAATATTAGACCAAAAAAGCTGCATAATGAATGGACCCACTGCCTCTGAATATAAAGCGAACGTGATATATCGTTTTATCAATCTTACAGGAATACGGCTCCATCATGTCCATATACAAAATAAATACCACCAATTAGCACAATCTAGTTATTTTTTGTGTTCAGAATTTTGTCAAGCTTACAAATAAAATGACACTTGTCTCGGGTCGGAATGCTCTGTAAGTCGATATTATTTACGTTCTATGCTGTTCTGTGGGTCATATAGAAAGACGTTTATTTTTACCGGAATCTAAAATTAATTTCAATTTCTTGATTCAGCCGATTTCCAGTGGTTAAATATCTCGTAAAATCTCGGTTATGATCCGTGATCACGCGATAAAAGGAATTTAATTGTCGGCGAAGATAGTCGGGTGTTTCCAGACCGGAAATGTTACTGGTTGTATTAAATGTCTGGATCTCCGCATCTAGTTTATCTGTCGGATGAAAAGGCTTTATTCCGCCTACTATAGGAAGCCACACGACATATAGATACCATTCCGCTGTAATTTCATTCCGTTTTGTTAGGTTTTAAATGACAATACACAGCTATCAATTATAACCCGCTTCGATATTGGCAGAGGTCAAGAATAATACCCTTATTTCACCTTTTTTCTTCTCTTATGTAATGCATATCGCAGGGCGTGAAAAAAGAGCCTTGTCGTTTAAAGTATTTTATTTTTTGATTATAGGTATATTATGTGAGCTGTGAATATAGCTTACTTGGTTAATAATATGAATATATGTTGTAAATAGTATAACCACCATACACTAGATCCATCTTACGCCCTTGATAGACTGTGGTCTACGCTAGTTGTGGAAAATAGAACCTTCTTTTTTAAACTTGGTTTACTCCAGTTGGTGAATTTTGTGACGAAAATGAAAACACATAGTCGATGACAATGGATAAAAAACGATGATCTGTGTGCTGCGAGCTGTGAACGTTAAACATCATGGTTGCTGCGAGGGAGTTTGTATATAACATGGCTTTCTTTATTGATATACTAGCCCAATGTGTAAATTTCATTTGCTGTTACGAATGAATTGCCAAAGTGTCAATTTGGATTTCTTGTTTCGTTTTGCGCTTCAGATCGTTACTTCATGCGTTTTTTTTTTATCTAAAATGCGGCGTGTTTTCAACGACAATGTCTCCAAACCTGCGCCCGTGGTAGACGGTCAACTTTAGCTGATAAAATAAAAAACAAAATGTAGCGATATGGGTTTAAACCAGAAATAAAACATGTCATATTACAAATATTTTGCAAGATTATTTTGATAATTACTGAGGTTTTATTGATCTACAGGGTGAACCTAATCATATTACTTTTACTTTAAAGTTGTAGACGGAAACTTTTTACAAATTATCTTCAAATTTAAATTTTAAAAATCGATATACATCTGTGATTAATCATATCTTAATATCAGGCCACCCATATATATATCTGAGTTATGAGAGTTTTGCAAACTCTTCAAGAGAAACACTATTGTTATTGGCAGAGTGTTTTCACTCTTTCTGGAACACACTATACTACCCCTCTTAGGAGATCCACAAGTATTCAGTTTAATTTAGGATATTCGGGCAAAGATATGATTTCATTTTTAAATTCCCAAAAAAAAAAAATCGGGCCGTTCAAAAAAAATTTTTTTTTAATGCCTTGCCCGAAAAACTGGCCTTCGGGCCTGCGAGGGGGGGGGGGCGGCTCTGCCACTGAGCATGAGATCAAAAACAAATCTTAAGAAAAGTATTAGTTATAACTGTGGAACTTTACACTGAGTAATACCATTTTACAATAAAGTTGATCGTAAGAGAAATGTGGCCCAGATAGGATGCTTTCTGGACCCACAAAGTTTAGTGACATACTCGCAAATTTGTTTTGCGATTTTCGTGTCATTTCTAGTTATCAATTAAATGGTTTCTTACTTAATCGTTTCTGATGGGTTTCCAGCCCCTATACCAAATGAAATTAGGAACACCACTGTTAAGACCTTTAATAATGTTGGTCATATTCAAGGAGCCTTTTATACGAATATTTCACAAATCAGCGTCGATTTAATTTCTTAAAACAAACCAGTTTAAATATGTTAATCCCATTAACTGGCAGCTTTAGAACTAAACTACTTTCTGCTTCCATGCTATTTTCGATTATAACTGAAATCTAAAAACTAATACCAACTTTAACCTCGACAGTTCTGTAGCTTGCAGTACTCACAGATCTTTAGTATTGGGAATTAGAATATTAGTGTAGGAAAAAAAGTAGCGATGTTTCAAACGATTGGACAAAGAAAAAGTAATTTTGTGAAGATGTGAAAACGTGATTTTGGCGAAGTTTTTAACACGGACTGGCTGTCGGTGTCTTGACCCACCAGTAACTAAAATATAAAAAATCTTTATAAGAGAAAAAAATCTTGTAAAATGGTGGTATATCTGTTTGTTATCGAAAACTAAGTCAATAAAAAAAATCATTTTGGTATTTGTATTACACACCAATAGGCAAATGACTATCCTGGTAGAAAACATTGCCTCCGAGCTCATTCTTTAACCGGTAGGCTTCAAGTACCAAAAACGTTTGAATTTGCGCACGCTTCAATAATAACTAGGTAAGTAGGATTTAGAAGCGATGTGCTTAGTTGCAATTATGAAGCTCCTTTATCATATTGTAATCTTAATCAAATCATTATGTTCTTATTGCATAGAATTAAACCAATAATAAATGTCCATGTACGTACAGTCTGGATAAACACAAAAATAATTTTTGACCTTTCTTGATCGGCCACTCATTGTAATTTTGCTGGTAATTCTCTTCTAATTCAGCTAATTATGAATTAATTTTGGACATGTGAGACAAACTGGTATTTTTCTAAGTCATTAGAACACATCTACTTTCTACTTATATAGTATTAGCATTTTCATTTTCATAAGTGAAAATAAGGGAACCCATCTTTAAGCGACAGTTACGCGATGTTCGCCGATAATTTGCGATGGATCTGCTGACCAGTGAACTAAGGTACCTCCCGGGAAACTTGTTGAGCCACTGGAAATTGACTTTTTATCATGGGGGTGGGGTTATGGAGATTTGGTTCAATTAGTCCCCGTGATAATTGAGTCAGTTTCATGTTATTTTGATGTTAGCCCAGTTTGAATTTCTACTTTACACATTTGGAATATAATTTGCAAGTTGACTGGGTTCACTGCTCTTCAATTAATTTATCTAATTGCTGATTTCAACATCAAATGGTGTGATTCTCTACTGTAAGCTTTCTGTCGATTGTAAACTTTAACCGTCATTGTCGTCTGATAGCGATAAGGCGGGAGATTTTACTTTCAATCTCAACCAGCGAGGTTTCTCTAATGAACGCAATGATCCGTAATAGATGAAAGACACCAAAGACAATTGACTGCAGTTTGTAGTAATAAGTGCTTTTGGGTCGTAGGATATTTTCATTTTGGTATTGATACCTCCATTTCTGTAATATTTCATGGCAATTCGCGTATCTACAAGTAACTTCATAATGAACAAAGAGTAAAGAGTCCATCAGTAACAGTTGCACTCTGACTACAATGTTTTCTAAATTGAAATTTGGCAATCATTTTCGAATGAATTGAAATATCAATAACAAAATAGGCTACTACTCAGAAACGGGAATTTTTTAGCCAAGCAAAACAGTAATAATCTTCGCAGCACACCGTCGAAATTCAAGTCTTCCAAAAAATGTGTGTCCAGAATTGTCCACGTTAGAAAGTTAAAACGTCTTTGCATGAGACTCTGTCATATATAAAAAAGATTTAGGCCTATATGATAATATAGGAAATGAAATTCCTTCTTTCAGGAATTATTTAATTAAGCGATTTTCATAACTTTCTAGTACTTCTGAAGACTATCTGCATATATTCAAGACCCAAATCAACCCCAGAAAATTGCCAATCCAATTATCTTGAAAGGTTCTCAAAGAGTCTCTGTACATCCCTATCAATTATGTTCTCAGGTACTTTTTTCAGGCAAACAACCACTGAACACCTTTGATTTGAGCAACAACTGGTTTTTACTCGAAAATTATCCGACCACTGTCCGAAAAACTTAAACCATTGTTACATAATAGGTGAAGAGAGTAAGAAGTAAGACTGATACATTAGTGTTGTACTTTAACTTTTTTCATTTTATGGACTTTATGAAGTTTCTGACAGGCGTGGGCCAAACCACAGCTTTAATTTATTTTATGTTATAATGGAATTATTTTTTACTGGAAAATCTCGTCCGAACATGTACAACTTTGGCTGTTAGCCATTTTTCTTCTGATTAACAGTCAGAATTCCCACAAGCCGATTGTACTGACGAACCCGAATCGTGTAACTAAAGCGAAAGTAGAAATTGATTGAAGTTGAGAAGAAAGAGAAATGGCGGGAGAATGTTTGAAGCAGACGAGAGTAGGGTTTAAGTTTAATAAATGAAACGTGTCGTTGAATAGAAGATGGCGGATTAAGCAGAAATCTAGGTAATTATCTTGAGTAGATTTTGCGCCATTTTCTTATCAACCTTCATTTTATTGGTTTACTG